TGATGTTATGCTTTGACATTTGCACCAAATCAGGCTTAAATGACATTGGAACCATAGATGTAGTAAACGAATAAACGATATGTGAAATGTTATGCCCTGCCTTAATACATAACTAAGATTTTCTCGGATAAATGGTGTCTTACAATTGACTAACTGATTCTATTATCAACATCAGGTAATGCATGATCTATCCAATGGATTAACGAAAATACTTGATTCCAATATGGCAAAATAAATTATTCCATGTATGAATTGCATAGTGCATCATTTTGCAGATATTACATAATGCATTCATTGACTCATGGTCAACAAGGTACGGGTAAAACTCCTTTTAGTATTTCACAAAATAATGAAATATAAACAATTTACATATTTCTGAAAGTGGTTTGTTATGTTAAAACTTAAAATAATATCTAAACAAATCTGTTTAGTGTATAAAAACAATAAAAGTTAATATGTTTAATATCAAATATTATTAGACATAACCTAACATAAGAAATCTTGTTCTCGTATTCCATTTTAAAATTGGTTGAATGATTTTGGCACAGTAGAAATGATGGTCATGATTAAATATTATATGTAATATGCCCTGATGCTGTTACATCAATGGTCCTTTATAATCAGGTATGACTGAAATACTGGACAAGATCTTATAAGGTTACAGTTTCCATATAACGTATGTTCCATATTACTACCCCAAATCTCCATTGTGTAAGTTTATGAGTCATTATCCCTCATAGTTTATTATGGCAAATGCCTATCCTTGTCTAGAATATGTCATTTTATCAATTTTATAAACAAGTATACAATTACACGCCCCCCCCCCCCCTCCCACACCAAAACTCCATTTTCTTTATCAAATCTTTCTACCTCTATCTGTTATGATTCTCTGTCAGGCTTCCCCAATTTTCCATACTGTCAAGTAAACATCTAAATAGGATAGTTCTAGCTATTGCTGTTGTTTTGAAATGTTGACTTTTCTTGGGGAAATATTGTTTCAATTCTGACAGAAGTTTTTAGCCAATATCATTCAATTTATCAATATCCAAACGCAGGGTTTCAGAAAGTATGCATTTTGTTTGTGCCTGTATTTTCATCATGTGTACTTATTAAGACAGCTATATTTAAACGTAAATACATTAAAACATGATACATATAATCTTTTGACAATTTCTTCAGTAAAGTGGCCATTTTGAGAAATGATATATAGCTTGTACCTTTGTTTGATGCTCAACAAGATGTTCGACTGGATTTGCCTTTGTCTAATTCATATATATACCAAATACGAGAATCAGAATCTTATTCTACAAAACGGGTGTTCATGGAAGTAGCACTAATTATTGCATCATTGCTATAAATCGTGTGATTTGATTGGCTAATTCAGAACCATGTGACTAAAAATACCAGCGTATTTCACAGCTCACTGAATTATTTCCATATTTAAAAGACGTATTGTCCAGCGTATTGCCCGCCTGGGGATTCTGACAACTGCACTTTCAATGATTTTTGCAACATGTATTACCATCGCCCTACGGGCTGCGGGCAATACATATTGCAAAAATCATTGAAAGATGAACAGGTATTGCCCTCCATAGAAGGAAATATTTGCTTAACATTTCTTACTGTTTCGTGCTTAATATCAATTTTGTTATAAACTGAACAAAGCGGCACCTTTAACATGCAGCTAAATCTCCCATCTAACCAAGAGAGCCTCTTTTAATATATCGAAATTTAAAAATTGCCTCTGATTCAATTTGTTCAATCAAATCTAAAATGGTAATACCTTTTTACTGCTTCGAACGTCCTTATATTTTATACCATTGGGGTAGGATGTTTGTCTCTTTCAATTAATGCTTTCACCAGAAACATGGATATCACTAATTTTGATTCATATTTAAAATGGTGTGCATGAATAGACCTGTGTATTTCATACCAAATAGAGACACTTCCCTGGAGAGTTCTAAATCTCTATATGTTAACAGCTTAGTTTCCACATCCCTTGTTGACTTTGCTTCCATATTTCCTGTGAAGCCGTGGAACAGTTCTCTTGTTCTTCACAATTTTCCATTTTAATGTAACTCAATGAATAAGGCCAATTCATATCACTGGCTTCCCTAGGTCATTTGAATTCCTTGCAATTTTTAAATCAGCAATAAAGAATAATGGGTTAAATGATCAAATAATGAAAAAGTTGCAAATTATGAGATTTGTTATATAGCTTCGAAATCTTGCTGAAGTGTAGTTTAACTATAGGTTAACAGGCTAAATTATCATTGAGATAATTTTAAAGAATCTTAAACATTGACTTATTGTTTCAGTGGTCCTATTAAAGTTCATGTGTACACAATCTGAACAACATCCAGTTTCAAACACTTTTGATTATCATCAAGTTTCAAACACAATCTGAACATCATCAAATTCAATGCAATGCAGTTTTACTTTAATCCAACAGAACGAATATGGTAAATCAATAGACTAAGTGACACATGTCAAGTCAATGGTAAATACTTGTATCTAGCCCAACTAGCACAAGTGCTGCCATCTACCGACTAGTATCAATCCATCTATCCATATACATAGCACCTAATGAGGTCACGACTTCAAGTAAAGCTTTTTCCCTTGTCTATGGTAAAAAATAAGTTAAACAGAAAAGTTAGTTTGACACCATTGGTGATGCCCACCTTGTATGGTATAGGGATAAAAGGAAAGTTCATGATAACACTTACATAAAATAATTTAAGTATCTAATAATGATAATGAACATATTACAATGTTACACAATGTTAGTAAATGATAATTAAATGTCAATCATTGTTAGTGTAATATGTATTTTTTGCTTAATGCTGCAACAATTACACAAGTTCCAAAAAGTGCCACGCCCACTTTTCCCTAAAAGTAGTTGTGTGTGACTATATTTGATAGATATTATTGATTTATTGGAGCATTATATCAACTTTTTAGTGCTTTAGTGTGAATATATACATATTTATACAACTTTTGACAAAGTTGCAGCCACAAAATCCAAACAAATTTGCAAATATTTCACTTTGAGGGCTAAGGGACATATTTTGGAGGAGGTCAAATTGAGAAGATTTTGAGATATAAATACTGTTTCCATGGTAACCATATAAGTTAGAGATTGGACATTTCTGGCACTGACTAACCATGGTATGCTCTGCCTACTATAAAACTATGAATATATGACATGCATTAGTATTCTTTTTATCAGGTGGTATTAAAGTACCCCCAAGGTTTTCTTAGGGTGGGGGTATGAATTGGCCTGAGGGCCGTCTGCCACCCCTACATGAAGTCCAACTACCCAGAAAGTGCCTAGCATAATCATACAGACTGTTTGAAATATGTTGGAATGTGTGACCTTCCATGAAAAATGGAAGTTGCAATTATCAGAGTAGTCCACAGTCTATAGTGGTAGTTTGTTGTTGTGACATGTCGCCATCAAATCTAACTGAGGAGTCTCCCATATTTGCCACAGTCGTTTCACTATTTGTGGGAGTAGAGACCATTCTGTGTTCACTATCCTGTCCCAAGATAGTGCGTCTGCCCGTCGGTTTAGGGATCCTGCTATATGTTGAGCTCTTATGTTTATTTGGTGATTTTTGCACCAGATTAGGATTTCCTGGCTTAGGGTCAGAAGACTTTTCGATTTTGTCCCGCCTTGTTTGTTTATGTAGCTTAGGGCTGTTGTGTTGTCCAGGCAAACTAGAATGTTTGCTTGAGGTACCAGTAGATGGTTCAGTTTGTGTAAAACTTTCAATACTGCCGCTAGTTCTAGCCAGTTGATGTGGTTTCTCATTTCCGATGGGGACCAGAATCCATTGATTTCCACAGAGTCCATGTGTGCACTCCACATAGTCTCCGATGCATCCGTGAAGATAGTGTGATCTGGGACAAACATTCCCAGAGGTTGACCCATGAGTAGATTCTGCTCGTCCATCCACCATTTCAGTGTGTTTATTATTTCTTGGTTGATGTAGATTGGTGTCTCTAGTGATTTTGTAGGAGACATCTGGCTGGCTAGGCACTGTTGAATTGGTCTCATATATAGTCTGCCCCAGGATATATTTTTCTCTGCTGAGGCTAGTAGGCCTAGTAGTTTCATCCACTGCCTTGTTGGTTGAGAAAGGGTATTGGTGAATAATTGTGCGATCTCTAAGATTTTCTGAATTCTGTCTTGCGGAGGATATGTTAGGCCTAGTATTAGGTTGTATTGGGTGCCTATGTACTTGAAATTCTGTGTTGGGATCAGTTCGGATTTTTCTCTGTTGATCACAAATCCGAGTTTTTCCGTCACTGATAGTACTGTTTGTGTCCATATTTGGCACTGTTGTGCAGATGGGGCTCGTATTAGCCAATCGTCGAGATATTGGTGTGTTAATATCCCTTGGAAGTGTAGGAAGGCACCGATTGCTAACGTCACTCTTGTGAAAACATAAGGGCTGGTTGACATTCCGAATGGAAGTGTTTTGAATTGGTACACTTTGTTGTTGATCACGAAGCGAAGAAACTTCCTGAATGGTTTGGCTATCGGTATATGGTAGTAAGCATCCCGATAATCTATGGATGTGGCCCATTCGCCCTTTTGTAGAGAGTTTGATATTTTGGCTGAAGTTTCCATTTTGAACTTTGGGCATATTATGTGTTTGTTGAGGAGAGACAGGTCTATTATGGGTCTGTAATCTCCATTTGGCTTTTGGCGTAGGAATATGATGCTGTAGTGGCCCAGTGTATTGTAGTCTGTTTCCTCCACAGCTTGTTTTGATCCAGATTCCAAGTTGTTGAAGTTTTTTGTCAAAGGTGGATTGTTCACTAGTTGTGGCATGTAGCCATGTTTTATCACATTTAAAATCCATTGGTCCTTTGTGATGAGTTCCCAGTTTTTTAAGTGTAGTTGAATCCTGCCTCCCACTGGTCCCAGCTGGGACATACATGTGAGAACGGGGGGGGGGAGGCGGGGCTGGGACATTGATGTTATTGAAGTGTCATTTACGCTTCTTAAAGCCTGATTTGTTGTTATTGTTGTTGGATTTTGTAGAAGTAGAACGGTCAGAGAAGTTTCCCCTATTGTTGTTTCTGTTGTTGTTGTTGTTGTTGAAGTTGTTCCTGTTAAAGTTGGAATGTTGATTACTACTTCTGTTGGAGTTGTTATTACTGGATTTATCATAATTCTGTTTTCGATTTTTCCAGTTTGAAGCTAAATCTTGTAGCGCTTTTGAGGTTTTAGATTTATCCAACCCTTCACAGATATTTTTTAAATTCTCTTCAGGAAATAAAAATTTGGTGTTGATGGGGAGATTCCTAAGGGCTTCAGCGTCTGACTTCCTGAACTTGGAGCTTACGTCCCTTTGAGTCAGTATGACGTTTGTGGCATTTGAAATGGTGTCCCTTGTAGCTTTATTTACCATAGTTGAGGCTGTTGTAATGAGATTGACGAGATCCTCATTTTCGGGGAAATTCTCTGCAATGATTTTCCCTGTTGTCCCTAAAATCCATTCAGTGTGAGACAGATGACGAAGAGGAGCTCTCACTGATTCTTCCAACAGTTTGTGATGTTTGGCTGGAAGCTGGTAAGAAGTTGAAGCCAAATCTGATAGTTTCATGGAAGGTGGAACAAGTTCCTTAGTTGTCCCATTCAAAATGGATTTTTTATAGAAGTGTTCATCTTCTTTGAGGGACGTGAAAGATCGTTTTGGTCTTAACAGGAAGTTAGTGTCATTCATGTTTTTTCTTGTTGGCTAATTCCTGGTTAATGTTGGCGAAATTCTGTAGCACTGAAGGCCCGATCGGTAAGCCTTTCGTTGTGTCTGAAGAAGTAGATTTCTTACCCAAGGTTTGAAGTCCTAGCGGTCTATTTTCCGTTTGTGTTTCTGTGTTATAGTCTGTAGTTGTTTTAAAATGACTCGGAAAGGCATTTTTAGTTAGTTTAACACAGTTTTTCCAACAAATTAAATCATGATCGTTGTCGGAAATGGAAGAATCCGAGTCTTCCGGGTTATTGCTGTCACGGCGCATGTGCGCAGGAGAGGTCACGGGCGCTGTAGGGATGATCACTTCTTGCCTGTTTGGGGCTAGATGCCCGGTCCGGGGAAACATACTGTAGACTAGACGGCGAAACAGTTCGCTTTTTCGCTCTTTGTACCTCCCTTCTTTTAGCGGACCTGCTTCTGTTGGTTGTTTCACCGTCAAGTTCAACGTCAAGTTGTTTGTTTTGCTACGAGCAATTCAAGAGTTGGAGTCAGTCCTTTGATAATATCTTGGACCATATCTGGCGATAGACTTGAAGCTAGCCCTGGTTGTTGATTTTGATAGGTCCGCAGTTCGGAGTGTTGTTTTGTTTTTGAAAACCTCTTAGATGTTAAAGTGTTTGTTGCTCTGAATCCTATTGAATTCAGACTATTAGACTGTATGAAGTCTCTCCCTGTAGGGTGCTGATGTTGATAGTTGGATGTGTCCTGCACCTCAGTCCCGGGTAGGGAGGTGAGCCCAGAACCACGAGTATCCAAAGTAGGGTTGAAATTTGACTGGTAAGTCAAGTCCTTCCCTTGTGAGTTCATATCATGCCCCTCATTTCCTGGTGGAATGAGCCCACGATTCATGAAGTCACTGTTGATGTTGTTGTCAATGTCTATGCCGCTGGTGATGGTGTGGGATGGCCTGCTACCCGGAGTTGGATTATCCTGGTCGCTAGAGAAAATGTTCCCTTGCAGCAAATTTGAACTATCCCTTTGAAGTTGACTTGAAAAGTCAGGAATTTGTCCATCTTCCAGTTGTTCATTGACATTGTAGTTCATTGTTGAATTAAGGTTGATATCCTTTACAACTGACGACTTGTTGCATCTCCATATAAAATATTTGTTTCAAACAAAAACGGCGTGTTGATTGCACAAATGTATGGGGAAATTGAGGACGTCGGCACATGTACAAACTACTTTATTCAATAGTGGACGCGTCCAAGTTAATGTCATCAGTAAAACCAGAGGGGTGTTAGGACTCCATACAGAGATTGCTAAAGGAATCTAAGGCATATAATTGAGAGGTGGGATGTGTAATAATACAGTATGAATTATTATATATCAAGAGCATAATTTAAAATTTCAACTGAAAAGTTAGATCAAAATGGAATCCAAGTTCACAGTGGGGGGTATAACTCATCAAAAACACTGTATAATTTCTTTTTTAAAGCTTACTGTTACAGCCTTATGTTTTTAATTTGCTTTTTGTTAGTTAGGATTATATCATTGACCATTTATGAATTTTTGAGCACCATACAAGGTTACAGAACTTCATTTATGAATGATTTCCGCAGGAGTCTATTAAATTCAACCCCTTAATGATAAGTAAATGGTAATGTTGACAGGTCCTGAACATGTGGAAACGGGTGTAGGGATATAAGTTTTATCATTCAAACATCAAAACAATCGGCAGATCAACAAAAAACAAGAGGATGTTAAAAGAAAGTGAACTAAATGAAACCATTGTATTTAATCATTTTGAATGCAAAATATAATCAGACAATAATATAATTTAACAGATGAAATCAATATCAAAATCTAGTACTTTTTGACCCCTGTTAAACCCCTCGATAATAAGTAAACGATAATGTTGACAGGTCCTCAACAGGTGAAAATGTATGTAGTAATATATGTTTTATCATTTAAACATACCAAAACAATTGCCGGAACAACAAAAAACAAGATGATGTTAAAAGAAAGTGAACTAAATGGAACAATTACTTTTAATCAATTTGAATGCAAAATATAGTCAGACAGACGATCTTATTTTCAATTAAACAGATAAAATCAATAGGTCATGCTAATAACCTTCCCAGAATTGATTCATAAGTAGATAACCCGTTGTAAACTTCAAAAATATCAAAATCTAATATTTTTTAAATTATTTGTGGACCCTTGTTAAACCCCTCAATACTAAGTAAATGGTAATGTTGACAAGTGCTCAACAAGTGAAAACGTATGCAAGAATATATGTTTTACCATTTAAACTCATCAAAACGACTAGAGGATGAACAGGAGGAAACAGCTTAACTAAGGCTTATCTGAAAAATTCCTTTATACCTTATGTGGTAGGTATTTATCGCCACAATTAGTGTAGAGATTCAACGATCATCAACCACTGTCAAAATATATTTCAATTTGAATATTTCATCAAGCCTAAGAGAACCCCTAGATAAACATTATTTCAGCTGATATTCCTTTTGAAACATGGTGGATCCAAAAAATCTATAAGTGGGATTCCCTTTATGGAACCTTTGCACTGAATTTACACTACTTAATGCTAAAATTGATAGTTTTTCCATAGATTTTGAAAAAATGGGTAAGTCAAAGAAGATGTTAAGCCAAATGTTGATAAAATAAATAAAATTAAAACTTTTTAAAAAATATATTAGGTTAAGTGATCATATTGAAAGAAATAATATCAATTGACCCACTGACATAGTTGATTAAGACAGCCATTTTGCATCAAGGTCACCGGAAGTGTGACGTCATATCGACGTTGGATGCCATATTGTAAGCCATTTTTCATCAAGGTCACCGGAAGTGTGATATCATATTGATGTTAGACGCCATATTGATACCCAAGAGGATGGTAAAATATGCCCCACAACATATTCTGACAAACTCAATAATTGACCAACTCGCTTTATTTAAACATATTCATTCATTCCAGACAATATTCAAATAGTTTTGATAGTGTAATACCACTCCAATTCTGCTCAATTATGTTGGCAACTTCAAGTCTATGTTTTCATGAATTTTTCAATCAGTTTTTATTGTCCTAAGTTGAACTGAGAAGTATTAGGTTACCTTTAAAATTAGTACACTAAAACTTTTCATGTTTTTTGTCAAGTCAAAATCTGGAGTTTAAAAATTTGTTTCTTTACAAGCTATGCTTATTTAAGTATCAAATAACATGAAAAATGTTAAACCTAACATCCTACATTGATTTGATGTGAAATAGTGATCATTGACATGATTTTTGTGCTGTTATGTTTGGATCTTTTAATTTTATTTTATCAGATTTCATTTTTCTCATAGTCAAACTTTATCCCCGATCTCTGTCGATGTGACATCACTCATTAATTATGCACGCATGCGCAGTACAATGAAGAAGGCAACATGGCTTACACAATTCTGAGCCAGGGTGGATATCTCAAAATTGAAATGAATATGTTTGTTTATGCATCTATCGAGGATCTATGTAACCCTTGAATCTTTGTAATAATATACTTAATATTTTAATGCATTTAACTTATTTTGTAAGCTTATTGTGATAAATCTAACTGAATAATAATTAAACATTAGAATTCTTTTTCAGGTGGCTTGAAGGATAGAGCAGCCAATAGAGTTTATGAAATCTTTAAACTCTTACAACTGGAAACAGAAAAATATGACCCTGGTTTTTGGTCTCAAAGATCGATTGTAGAAGGAATACTGAGTCTTTGGACTGGCAGTCATAATCCTGATGTGTTTAAATGTTGGGCTGAATTTTTTGGAAATATTTTTCAGGTATATAAAGAAACAGTTTTCAGGTTCTAATTTAAAATAATATATCATAGAAATAATTTTGAATGACCAAAAGTTTATCCTTTCTACAAAATTGCACTATGAACCAAATCTGGTGTTTGATTTATTGAAGATTATTGTCTTTACTGCTATCTTCAACAGAACCACTTTGGCATCAGACATGATAAGACTCCAAAAGACCACGTGCAGTATGGGCATAAATAACACACTAGTTACTAGACATTGTGCTTAAAGTATTCACATACCAATATAAACAAAATCACTCCACTACTTAATCAATTTTCTATATACCTTTTTTACATTTAAAACATATTGCTATTACAGTTTCATATGCAGAACCTAAATTGAGTGGCCAAAAGTATTGGAGTTATTTTACATAATGTAGTTTCATGTATTGTGATAAAAACTGAAAAGTTTTGACAAAAATTGTGAAACTTGGGTACAGTAATGGTTGCTCTGGTTACATGAAGCTACACAGAAAGCTACACACTTTAAGCATTTTGTACATCCCATATCAAAGTTGAAATGCAACATCTGCTTTACATCATCTGATATTCCTATGTAACCTCTCCTTTGAAAAATAGGCTTTCTATTTGGTCTATTTATAGGTCTTACCGCTCTGATTAGCATTCCATTCTCCATTTAAGTAAATATTAGATATTGCATGATCAGAAGAGTATGGTGCATGGTCAAAGACATCAATACCTTGCTCCTTTATAGTTACATGTATTGACCCTATGCATCAGTGTGACGTCATGCCTTTGTCCGGCCAGAAAATATTGCTGGCCGTCTAGAAAACGTCATAAGCAACCAGTGCTCAAAATGGTGACGAAGTGATGAGAAAAAGTTAAAAGAGTATGCCCAAATGCTGCGTTGCTGTTGAATGTTCGAATAGAGAACAAGTCGGCATTACGTTTTATCGCTTTCAGAGTGACAAGAAGTCACCTGTAAAAAGAAAGCTATGGATAAATGCTGTAAAAAGGCAAAACTGGGAACCAAAAGAACACGATCGACTTTGCAGCGCTCATTTCTTGCCAGGTACAGTGTAGTAATCGAAACAGACCTGGTTTTCTAAATAATGAGTAAAATAAAATTTTATTAATTAGTTATCAGTAAATAATGCACATTCAAATACCACGCATTGTGTTAATAACGCTATCATTAAACACGAGGAAAGT